ACGCTCTGCTAGGGCAGGTGCACACTGGGTGTCTGTCATAAAGCCTGAGTATCATGGCTTCTAGTCCAGGCACCATGGCCAACTTGTGAGCCCTGTGATCTTGGCCAGGTGATTTAAACTCTCTGGGGTGTACTTTATTCCGCCTACCAAAGCAAGGCAGCTTAGATGATCTCTAGGGGCCACTCTGCTCTCCAACAAAGGAAGGGCTATTTATTGGTGATGGAGGTCCTATTAGATAGAATCACATGAAACTGCCAATACTTGACCTCACTTATCACATTTCAATGGCCATTTCCTCTGGTTCAAAAGAACAGAAATAGTAGCTGTCTTCACGTTACTGAAGTAAACACCTGTTGTTGTATTGTACTTTGGGATAAGGCAGGTATGTACACCAAATACTGTTGCTACCTCTCAGTTATATAGGTATTCTGGGAATCAAAAATTTAAATTTACCCACTTGTCATTTGAACTATTTTTCAGTTGAGTAACTGTATATATTTATGGAAATCACAACATGCTATGAAAAAATCCAAAGGGGAAAATATCTGAAGCAATCAGGAGAAATTCATGTTTAGCAGACAATTTTTAAATGAAAACCAAACATAAAACTTGCCACTTTTGTGATTTATAAAAGCACAGGATGAATAGGGCCATATCACAAATACTGAAATGTAAAATATACAATAGGGTAAGTTTTCCTCATGTATATATACATGAAATGTTACATTCAGATGTAAATCTTCCTGAATTAAACTTTATAGTACAGTGATGTCTAAACATGAACAAAATGTGAATTCCAGCTTTAATAAAATGCATTTTAATTACATAAGATAACTATACCCCAAAGCATTAATCCCAGTTTGTGCATACTTATTTGGCATCTTGTGATCACATTTGCTGAACTTGCTTCTACATAATCTTTAAATGAAAATGTAAAGAAGACATGAGTGTTTATAAACTACAAACCAGATATTGGAGATCAGGGACACAAAGGGGGAGCCAGCGTTCCTCTGTCTTCTAAATACTTGAGTGCGACTGCAGCCTGTGGAATACTAATCACCTTTGTAGCAAAATAGTTTTAAAGAGCTCTCGAGTTGCTCTTTCTCTGTCTACTCAGGCTGACTCCTATCTCTCAGGAGCGTAATTTTACTTACTAAACTATGTTTTCCTTTTACTAAAACAAAACGAAACACGCACAAGAAGGTATTAAGACTTTTCGAAATATTTGCCAGAGGGCACCTGTGCTCATCAGAGAGAAAAAGGGAGAAAGAGAGAGGGAAAGGGGGAATGCATCCCCTCTGGGGGGACGATCACGCTGCAGTTCCTCCTCCTCCATTTCCCCCTCCTCTGGGGATTTTTGGGCTTGCATTCGCATGCACCTGGTGTGTTTCTCAAGTGGTCTGGGACCATGAGGTTGGCCATGTGGAATCCAGCCACGTTAACCACCACACCACCAGCTCACCCAACTTTTAAGTCACTTCTGCCTAAAGTTTAAACAGTGTTAGTAACTTTAAAACAAAATAAAAAAAAAAAAAGAAGGAAACAAGCAAACAGTAGTCCCTAGTCTCTCACTTTTCCTCTACCGTTGCCATCCTGGTAAATTGAGTATGTGTTTGCATCATGTCCAAACTCTATGGTTAGGTTTATTTTTCCTGTATGACAGACACCAGCCTGCTCAGCCACCTCTCAAAATCAGTATTCAAAGAGCAAATCCCCTGTGGGCCCTATATTTCAGCCTGGCTGGAGGTCAGCACTTCAGTATTTAATCCCCATAGGTCCCTCTCAGCTCAATGCTTAAGTCTTACCAAAATGCACGGCTTTATGTGCTTAGCAGCAGGCTTTGTCCATGCTGGAAGAGCAGAGCAAATACTTGGCAAAACGGGCCCCTTAGTGCTAAGGTTGATGACCGCTGCCATGCCTACACCTGGAAACAAACCCAAGTGACTCCTGTGGAATTCAACACTGAAGTCCCTCACCCCAAAGGTATTTTGTTGAAGAGATTCTTAGAGGGGCCCTAGGGAGCTCAGGAGACTCCTGAAATAGTAGAGCTCCACGGGTGCATAGGTACACAACTCTGAGGAAAAATAAAATAGAAGAGTTTTATATTTTCCAAAGGATCTATGACATTCCCTTCCCCCACCAACCACCTAATCAGTTAAGAATCACTGTTCTGATCTTTTCCAATTGAATTCTCTTTCTCCAGAGCGAGAAACAGCTACTCATTCGCGCATTCAGTCACAGAACATTTAGTAGAATCTGCTATGTACCGACAGCTGTGTAGGCCCTGGGCGTGAGTCAAAGGTGAATGAAACAATCCCTACCTTTCGGCATCTCAAGCTATGATTCAAATGACATAATCTCTCTATAGAGCAGTCTCATCCTTTACAATGTGGAACTGAAATTCTGATCTCACAGAGTAACTTTGAATTTCTCATGAATGAGCACACAATAAATGTGTAATGGGAAGAAAAAAAACTGACGCCAAACCAACATGGTTGCTTGCAGATGAGCACAGACAAGAAGTTTCCGCCTAGACCTAGGAGGCCAGGGAAAGTATTGAAGAGGAGGTGATAGTCATATCACAAGAGAAAAAAGAACCATAACCATGTGGAGTCTGGAAACACATTGCATTTCTTTCTCCCGATGCAGGACAATGAAGGAAAGGCCATACAGAGGACCAAGGTCAAGACACTGTTCTCTTCTGTCCTTCTAGGTCCATCTCCTCCCCAACGCCGTTTAAATGTTCTCACTGCCATTCTAGCTCTGGAAAATTACAGCTTCTCTTGAGACACCACAGCCCCAGATGGCCTTGCTAAACATCAAAGCATACCTCCCCTATGCCCTATTCCTGTGTGTGAATCAGGCACTTGTCTAGATTTTTCAGGTGTGGTAAACAGTTAATAGACTGGGAGCCAGCAGGTGGCACGGTGGCTGGTGCTGGACTCGCATTGGCCAACAACTCTTTGAGTCCTGAACTTGGCGGCTTGCTTTCTTGCTTCCTATCTCTCTCTCTGTCTCTCTCTGGTGAGCACATGTGCCCTACAGAAAGCTAATGGGTTACTTTGATAAAAATACTGAAGGGAAGAGCAATCCATTTCTTTTCTCCACACTCATAAACATCTTAGCTGGAACATTGTCCCGAAAACAAGACAGATTACTAAGAGATAACCATCAGTTTATCTTAACATGTGCTGTACCCGTATTATGTGGAAGAGATCTCTACACAAAAGTATCTCTTGAAGCAGTGGCTTGGGGTTCTAACTTACACAGCATATCCAATAAACAGCAATAAATTTAGACGTGATAGGACAAAGAGATAGAAACACTGTGAGAAAGTGGAAAACTTTCCTCCTAAATTCCTCACGGCTTGCTGGTGCCGTGCTAAGCTCACGGGTGAGTGTTCTCCGCAGAGGAAGATGTAGGTCTTGCACTCACACACAGGAGGGGGGCAGACAGGCCCCTGCACCTTAACCTGCTTCAGTTCAACCATCCTCGAGACGTTAGGAAGAAGTACTCTGGTTTCCTTCAGCCTCGCAGGAAGATGTTGACAGTGAATGTGGCCTGTCTGTGTACTGGTGGGACTTCCACTTCTTTCTCATAAAGGAGAAATCTTTAGCTCTCGAGATGGAACTCTCAGCACAGTGGTCCAGGGAGGAGAGAGTTGGGAGGCAGGTGAACAGGAGAAACGCCAATCCTTAGAGCTTGCAGTGCTCCCACCTCTTTAGGGAGCCCAGATACAAGTGGGGGTTCACAGGCCTGTGCATATGTGGAGTTCTTTCAAAGGAGTAATGACCAAAACCAAAAACACTTAGACTGACTCCAATTGCTACCGAAACTACAGAAATTTAACTCTTTGGCCAGAAGAGAATCACTGTTCACCTCTCAATGTCTCCTCCATGATGATTGGAACTCTCCACACACAAAACTGCCCTCCTTGCCCATCCCTAGGGTTTTTTTGTGTGCCCCACAGCCAGTACTCCACTTTGTAAACCTAGCTCTGTGGTTCTTTTTAAGTTTTCTCTATGTCCTAGGGTTTTTTAATTTGACTTCACAGAAGGAAACTGGATTCTCTCCTGAGGGTGCAGCAGGGGGAATGTATAAACTGACAAGATCACAGTGTTTTTTGTTTGTTTGTTTGTTTTATTGGATGAAGCTGTTCCCACAGCTTGGGAGAAACAGAAGGCTTCACACGCGAAGCAATCCTACTCCATCGCATTTTCTAGATTAACCTGGTACAGCACGGAGAGCAAGGGCAAAAGCGAGGGTGGGGTTGTGTCTTGGATGGAGCCAGTGTGAACTCACCCAGAAAGAGCTGACCTTGTCTCTTCAAGGGTAAAAAGGCCAGTGGCATAATCTAGAGAGGATTAAAGCCAGGCTGGCTACACACTTTCACAGTGAACTCTACTATTCTAAGAGGGAAGAAACACATCTCTGTTACATTGCCTGGAAAATATGTTTGGCGTGTACCTTGGGGCAATCTTACCCGTGAAGTTTCTATCCAACTACTAGGCTTTACGAGCGAGAAGAGAAAAAAAGAAAGATCTTAGAGCTCCGAAAAATCGTAAAATGTCGGGATGAGGAAAACATATTAGACAGTAATTCTCAACGGGGGCAATGTTGGGAAGAAGTGTTAGAAGCTGTGGGAAGTTCATCTGTGCCCCTTTCCCACGTGGGAAACGTCTCTTTTTATGAAGGAAGGAAAGACGCATGTTAAACAGAGGTGACAGTTAAGCAGGGACCTTAAAAATGAAGGCAGAAGAGGGGGGCGAAAGTATTCCAAGTCAAGGGAACAGAAAATGCCAACGTCCTGAGGAGAGAAGTCAGGTGTGAGCAAACCGTGGTGAGCGAGGGGTAACTGGGGAGATGGGTCGGGGGCCGGCTCAGCCCAGGCTGGTTAAACCCAGATACGGAAATAGGATTCTATTTAAAGAACTACAGGAAGCTACTGAATCATTTTAAAAGCAAGGGAGCAGCACTCTTTTTTTTTTTTCTTTCTTTTTACATGTCTTTTTTTTTTTTTTTTTTTTT